AGGGGGAGAGGCCGAGGTCTGGGCCCGCTGCCCTCACGCCTGCGGGTTCGCCTCAGGCTTACAGGAGGGCTTTTAAAAAAATCTGACGGTTTCTCCTTGTCCCCGTAAATGCGTTATTGCTCTAAAAAATAGGCGGAGTTGTTCTGCCGTGTGCTGAGGGAAATCTGACTGGTGCTGCTGGCAGGGATGAAGATAGCGCCTCAAAGACAGGCTCCTAGCAGCTGTGGTACCTTTCTGAGAATGCCTCCAGTGAATACTCCCTATCTGCTGCTTTAAGCATCCCGGGGTTTTTTGCTCAGCAGCAGTCTGCAAGTTTTCTGTTTGGTTTTATATTATTTATATTAGGACTTGGACTTTCCTGTCATCTTCTGTACTACTTAGTATTAGTTTTCCTAAAATTCTTAATCATATGTTTTTTTCCTTCTTTCTTTCTCTGACTTAAAATTGAGAAGATAGCATCTTTGTAAAGATAAGGCTTCCTTTTCCTGGTTTTTTTGGTTTTGTTTGGCTGTAGGCAGAGGGCATTTCTTTGATCTGCTGAAAGATTAAATCAGGCTTGTAAACCGATTAGGATAGCCTCAACAGTCAATATTATTTCTGCTATTCATTAAAATATGAACAGTAATACCTGATGTTAGGTAGTTCCTTGATTCCTGGTTCCCTGATGTTTTTGGTTTGGTTTGGTTGGTCGAGGTGGGTTTTTTTGGTTGGATTTGTTTGGGGTTTTTTTGTATTAGTAGCTCAGTAACTGGACAGCATCAGCATGTTAGTTATTCATACCATCTCGTGTCCTTTTTGGTGTCCTGGAGCGTGATCTCAATGAGTTATGGTACACTGGCTTTCAGGAAGGATTGTTACTCCCTGATGATTTTTGAAAGCAGTTTAGTCTTTAGCTTTTGCCAAGATCAGTGAGGTTTACCTTAAATGAATTTAGTTGTGACTGGTTTGTTCCCACTGCCACCGATGGTCACACTCCCAGGGGCAAGAGATCCTGAAATGCTGTGCAATTAGCGCTGTCAACCCTGTTACTTAAACCCCCTAGACAGTGGAAGTTGTCCTCTTACATAGCTTGTTGATACTCCTGTGAAGAACTCACCTGTGAAGCAGGACAGCTTTATATTACTGTGATCCATCAGAAGAGCACTGGTCAGACTAGTTCTCAAAATAGTACTTAATCACAGAATGTCAGATAGGACCTCCTTGAGATCTCTAGGAAATAATAAAGAAGCCTTAGTGTCTTGAAACGTGTATGAACATTGGCATGGGAGCTGGGAGAGAGCTGTTTAATGGGTGATATATGTCTGCATTTCTAACTCTTCCCTGCAGAAACAGAACAGCACAACAGCTCCTTCCCCAGTTGTCCTGTGCCCTTTCTAGCTCCTCCAGCAAGGATTTCTTTCAGCAGTCCACAGTTCCTCCAAAGTGGAGCCTGGTAGAAGTAAGGTTCAGAGTGCAGTGGTGATGGGAGCTGATTCTGAGAGAGAAGCTATTGAATATTTTGGTGAGGAGGCAGATGTGGGTAGATTGTGTTATGCTTCAGCTCGTGCTTAGCAATATTCTGCAATTTCCAGTCAGAGAAGCACACTGTAGTGTAATTAGCTTTGGGATAGCGTTAGCTTAGGATCCTCGACTGGTCCAGTGTGCCCCGAGGTTTGGGCTGCTGTGGATTTTGTATCTTATGAAAAGGGAGACTTTTAGGCCCACAGTTCCAACACTTGAGGTCAATGAATCTTCTACTTACCCTCAAATCACCTTACAGTCTATAGTGTACCTAGACTGGACTTGTAATTGAATATTGTGTTTAATGTGATTTCATGGACAAGCTGCAAAGAGCTTCTGATAGCCTTGCAGGCTGCTGTTTGGAAAGCTGTGTTAAGACAGCCACCAGTACTCAAGGTCACTCATGTAAATTTTGCTTGGTTCTCTTTTCTCCTTTGTTTGTCACTTTTGTGTTTATATTTTCTGGGTCAAGTTTCTGTTAGTGCATATTAGTACCATTTTTTAGTAGAGTTAAATTGATTAACTTTTTTTTTTTTAATGGTTTGCCACGTTTCCAGAGGTGAATAATAAATCCATTTTTGTTCCAAACACTTACTATATTGACATCTAGAAGACTAGGGTAGAAAGGATATATTCTGCTGCTTATGATTTGGGAAATAGCATAAATATATATATAGATGGTTTCCCTAATTTTTCTTTCTCCTGATTTTGTTTGTTTCCTTCTTTTCTCAGTGCTACAATCTTGTTGACCCCCAATTCAGACTAGCTTCTTTCCCATTGCTCTGTCTTACTTAATAGCTTAAGAGAGCGGTGCAAAGAGCTTTCTTCCCTCATAGTCTGAATTTTGTGTGCGTGGTGGGTCCTGTTCTCCACTTGATATAATGAGGGACTGGTGCTAGCTCCAGTTTTTCTTAGACTGATAGTATGATCACTTTCCTGTCCATTCCCCAATGCATGTTTGTTTGTTTTATTTTTCCTTCTGCTACTGCAGCAGCTTACTTATTGCAGCAGCAGAGAAATGTATTTTTGCTGAAGCATTTACTATGGTTTTCCAAGGACACCTTTGTCTCCTGGTATAGCTGAAGAAGCTGAGTGTATAGGAATGAAAATGTGATTTCAGTGTTTTTTCTCTGTGGATGATTGTTCAGCTGCTGTGTATTCCATGGCTTTATACAAGACCAGAAAAGATGGAAAATATATAGATATAGATATATAGATAGATAGATATGTGTGTATATATATATATATATATACACACATATATATATGTTTTTCTAGTGCTGATTCCTTCCTCAAGCAGAGCTTGGCAGATTTATTACAGATGAGATGTAGACAAGCAGTGACTTGAAACATGATTGAGACAGCTGGCCTCACTGTAGTCACTTCCATGATTTTAGGGTTGTGCCAGACAAGCCTAGAGACTGGCATGGATGTTGTGTAGAAGTTTAGTATGATTAATTTTAACTTAGATTATTTACTCTAGATTTGGAGTTGGAATTCCAATTATGAAAGCTTATCTATGGCAACTTAAAACCCTAAAATGATTTAGTCATCTACATTTAATTTACTACATGAACTTTGACTTCCATACTAAATAAAGAGATGGTGCTTTGAGATTGTTTTCCTGGCTCATACACAAGAAGTTCTTTATAAGTAGTGGAGTGTTTGCAGTTTCTTCTCCTCTTTGTGTTTTGCTGTCCACTAAATGTACATTGGTGGAAACTGCTGTCACTAAAAACACCTTACCCGTTGCACCCAAAGTATAATGCTTTTTGAGGTTGCTGCTCCCATCAATCTGCTCAGTAAAAATAGCTCATCTTGGTAAGTTGTTTCGACTTCACCAGGACCTGAAGAAGAGGCAGAAAAACCTGTGAAAACTAAGACTGTTTCTTCCAGTAATGGAGGAGAAAGTTCGAGTCGCAGCGCAGAGAAACGGGCAGCTAATGAACAAGCTGAAGACTTCACCACAAAGCCTGCTCCTGCCAAAATGTCCAAGTTTGGATTTTCCATAGGCAGTCAGACAGCGAAGAAGGCATCTGCCATATCCATCAAACTAGGAGCGAATGTAAGTTGTCTGAGGGCTTTTAATTTTAAGGGAAGTGAGGCAAAGGGGGAAGTACTTTGGGGAGACTTCCTTGCAGAAGGAAAGGCCTGAATTACATGTGGGTAACTTGGATAAAGTTTAAGAAAGTGTTGCAGGGCCATGCATGTGTAAGTACTTCAAGGTGATTAACACTAGGTCACTTGTCTCAGGAAGCGTAAGACTTGATGGATATGAACTCTAGCTCTTTAAATGTACAGAATAATTTTATAATGAGATTTGATAAGTCTGGAATAATTTCCTGAGGGAGATAAGCAGACTTGTTAAACTCTTCAGGCTACTTTGAAATGAGTGCTGGGAGCTTCATTGCATAGGATGCTTAAAGCTACAAGAAAGCAAGTACTCTCCTAGATGGCTTAAGAGGTGGTCTTCCACTCCAAACATCTTATTGTAGCATGAGGAACTTCAGTTGATTTTTCAGTGACTTTGCCAGTTCTTTGCAAGGTCAGTATGGTTCATTTATACTATATGCAAGAGATGAGGCTTTGTTTCATGGGTTCCTAAGAATCCTGATCCCTTTTGTTGTCCAGTGCAAGGTATCCTTGTGCTTGTGAATCTCTTTACTACCCAAGTAGTCCTCTGCTAGCCTGGGCAAGAAGGACAAGCCTCTCTATTTAATGTAGTCCATTTACACTTCCCACATAGCACTGTGATGGAGACATTATAAACCCTGGTCTGGATTAAATTCAAAAGGTAATCATGAAAGGCTTGCACCTGCAGTGCCAGCGTTTTACAGACCTGCAAACGGTGAAGAGTGTGTTCTGTTATTTTGAGATGGGAGGAAGATGGCGGCTGGCAGCGTCCTAGGGTATAAATGCAATCAGGTCAGCTCAGAGTTTGGAAAAACTGACAGAGCTGCCTTCTCTGAGCCACCAGCAAGCTTCTCATATAGAAATATACTTCCAGTGGCAATACATTTGTCTCAGGATTTCTGGCTCACTGAATTTACTGGGTGACTGACAGTGCTGAAACTTACCCTGTTTCTTTTTAGTCATTTTTACTCCCTTAGTATGTCACCCATTCCTGTGGAGCTGATGCTTTAAAAGACGTCACAGTATTTATATGTTACATGCTATTGGTGAGAAATAGCTGTAGACAGTCACATAAGGACTCTGCTGCAGTATCAGCTTCAAAACTATGAGTGTATATGAAATAATCACCAATAAAGTCCTAATGGAGGAAGCACTGTATATGATTGATGTGGATATTTGGTAGTACTGCAGAAGCAAACTGTTACTGATGACTTAACGCTTTTTCAGTGGTCTCAAAGTTACTTTTGATGCCTCTGCTGTATTAAATGTAAAAATCTTGAGTTTGATAGCTTCTTGCACTTTAAATAGAGGAAGGTATTTATTGGAAATCAAAATAATACTTTTTAAAGGAGCTTTCTATTAATTGGACTGTATGATGCACACTGATGCTAGTTAAAAAACATTGGATTCTTTTGAGCCAGAAAGCTGTTACATTGTTAAAGGACAAGAAAATAAACATATTCATCTTCCTGGCAGTGATGGATAAGAATGCTCCAAAAGAATAATGGAAACAGTGACATAGTAAAATTTTGAATAGCACAATTTATTCAGGTTCTGATTTAATTGTTCATGTCACGCACCAGTGGCTGCATGCCCCTGCAGTGTGCTAGAAAGTGAAGGAAGGCTTGCTTGTGGGGAGTTGCAGTGTGAGAGAGCCCAGCTTGCTTTCCAGAGTGTATCTCGTGCAAATGAGCAGCTCTTTTCCTTTTTCATTGGAGAGAAACCTTTATCTGCTCAATTCAAACAAAACCGCTTTTACTCCTCATTGCTCATTCCGGTGAAGATGTTTGACTTCATTTTAACAAAACATTTGAAACACCAATGGTGGCTTTTTGAGTTTACTTACTTTACTTGTGCATTTGGTCTTTTTCAGAAGCCTAAAGAGCCTGTTCCAACCCTTGCTCCAAAAACTCTTTCTGTAGCAGCAGCTTTCAATGAAGATGAAGATGTGAGTAATAAGCTGGTGATCAACACAGCTGTGGGTTAGAGCTAGGCAGAGAGAGTGGGTCATTTCAGGTTCTTTACATAAATGTCAGGGATTTTCTACCTCGAAACATCTGTTATGTTTCTGTTTAAGACTGTACACCTTTGTAGTTTGTGTTGGTTCAAGAAATCACTGAAGTGCTGATAACTTTTCCCTGACAATGAGATGCACAACATAATTTGAATTAATGGTTACTTTCTCGGGGCTTGATTAAGGGGAGGCGAAGAAAAGTTGTGCTGCTTCTGGTTTGCTAAATATTTTGTTGCTGTGTTACCGCTCCATCTCACACAGAGGTGAACAAAGGAATTTGTATTTCTTTCTGTGACCTTGTAGAACCTCTGTTTTCTCCTAAGTGACTTTGCTTTCCTGTGGGGCTGTAGTCCATGCTATATCTTGTCAGGCATGGGAAATGTTCAAAAGATATCAGCCAGCCACACTCTAACCTACTTTCTCTCTGTAGAGTGAACCAGAAGAAATGCCTCCAGAAGCCAAGATGCGCATGAAGAACATTGGAAGGTAGGGCAGCTTTTAACTGTGCTTTGGAGAAGGGTGAGTGTGTGAGAACACCTTCTTCAGCACAAGTCAGACCTTGCAGATGGTTTAAAAATATAGGAAGACAGAATAGCTTCAATAAGAGTTGTTTTTTTTTTTTTCCAGAAACGAGAAAATTCTAACACAGATATTTTCTAATGTTTCAGCTGTATGTTAAAAGTAATACATTTACATTTGCACTTTGAATCTTATTTGATGCCTTCTTTCTGGGGAAGAAATTGATTCTATATTAAATAGAAGTTAGCTTTCTTCTTGGGAAGGTAATAGATGGGAGTTCCTGCTTGCTGCTAAACTCTGTATCTTTCCAGTTCTCCATTTTATAAATGGCCCTGAGGTAGGGTAGTCCACTTAAATATTTTAACTCCTGTGCAAGAGGAAGGTGAGAATCATCTCTTTCAGAGAGACAAGCAATAGCTTTTTTTACTTTTAAAACAAATAAATGTAATTCTTCTGCTTGCCACAAATTTTACTATTGAGCCAATCCTAAAATAAGTAGGGACATTTTCAGAGGAGGCTTCACTTAAGTTAGGGATGAATTTTGAGCAAATATATTTTAAAGATGCTTATCATGGTAGACTGCTTTTAAGGTCGGTCTCCTGGAGGCTTGCTACTGTTCAGTGCAGTTTTTTCTCCAGTAGCAAATTTGGATCCTCAAGTTTGTGGCACTTGCAACAAATTCTTCACAGCTGGCAGCAGTTACTGCCACTCCCACCTCCTCAGCTGCCCCATCTTATCACTCTTGTCTTGATGTGCTACAGAGAGATCAGTTCTGTGGCCAACTCAGAGTTGCCAATAGTGAGAACTCCTGATGTAATGGAAAGAAATAAATGCCTTTTAGTTTCTGGTGGCAGATTGGACTTGAAATTGATGTTTTCAGTGTCATGTTGCACAAACTACTACAGTTGAACTGACTTTCTCAACTGATCTTGTTTTACTTTTCACAGGGATACACCAACCTCAGCAGGACCAAATTCCTTCAATAAAGGAAAGCATGGTTTTTCTGACAACCAGAAGCTATGGGAACGAAATATAAAATCTCATCTTGGAAATGTCCATGACCAAGAAAATAACTAAATGATGTGGATTGAGAGTTGGGTGTTTGGGGGGAGGGTGTAATGTTAAAGGAACAGTTTCCTTTTTTAAGAATGGTATAAAACTATCTTTGGAGCCACTTTTTTAACATTTTGAGTGGTACACTAATAACTGAGTTTGAAATTAGAAGTAATTTATGTTTTGTATACAGATTTCAAGGCATTTGCTAATTTTGTAGTTCCATGTGATTAGTTTCAAAAGGTTACAGATAATAAAGAAATTGGAGTGGTACCTTTTTAAGATTTTTTTTATTTTATTTTATTTTTTTTGGTCAGTGATTAATTAAGGTGGATGAAAAAGGTTACTGTCTCTTTAATCAGGTTAACGTTGAATGCTCTGGCATTCTCACTTCTGGCTCCCTCTTCGTAACAGGAGAAACAGTTGACTCCTAGGAATACTGCTAAAGAACGTGAGCATTGTCTTGTTCTAGAAGTGTTACTGGACTCTTAATTTGAATATAAACTTATGCAGGAAATAAGAAGAACCTGGATTTATTTTTTTCTCCCTGCAGTCACATTTTGTTAAGTCTCTGCAAACTAGAAATTATGTTTCTCTGAGTGGCTCTGGTAACTTAGCTCTAATTTTGTTTAAAACTTCATGTAGGATGTGTAACCTTCTGTGGCCTGTTTCATCCTAAGGAAACGGGCCTTGTCTGTATATTAGATACAGTCTGTAAAGAATATTCACTACAGAGGTAAATCAGTATTTTCAGTGTGCTCCTCTTAAATCATTAGCCTTGAGTAGTGCTTGTTAGCGTTTTCTTGTGGTACACAAAAGCCACCACCAAAAAGACAAGCTAATGTACATGAAGCTTCACATTTGGTTGAAATATTTTTCTTTACTATGCCTAGAAGGAATAAAAGCCACACCAAAAACTGGTAACTCACTGCTTAAGTATGAAAAATCTAAGATGCACTTTTCCTCTCTTGCCATTTAAAACAAAATGCCTTGATGCCTGTGACCTCAACGGACACTATCAGGTTAAAGAAGAATCCTGTGTTTGCATTCCTAATGCTTCTAGCAGATGTCAACTTCAGAAATCAAACTCAACCTTTTCCTGCCTGTCTGCCTCTTGCAGTAGTTTTCAACAATGACATTTGTTTGGTCAGTTCAGTTTCAAAGCTTTCATGCTGCAGAACAGTGCAGTAGGATGTCAGACCTGGTAAGGACTGTCTGCATTTCAGTTTCATTCAGATTACATGTTTTTAAAACATTTTACTAGCAGAACTAGTTAAACAAAAAGTTATCAACAGCAACATCCCACCCTCTCCCCCAGCTAAACACAAAGTTATTTTTAAATCCAGATACCTGATAGTGTTGACCACTAAAATAATTTCAGCCTGGAACTTGTTGTAGAATTCAACATGCTAATTTCTTTCATCCTGCCTCTAAAACTTTTCTTCATGCTAAAGTTGAACCTGCGAGTGCAGAAAGGAAGGTGCATCTTGTATTTTTTTTTTTTAATTATTATTATTTTAGGAAAGCTCTGACCACTTAGACTTTTGAGTTTGTAAGTTCTAAAAAATATTTTTTTGTATTTTTGTATTGTATGTGTAATCTTTTTTTCTTTGAAGTCTGATGCAGTTGAATACCTGTAACTATTTTCTTTAAAAGCTTTGTTATAAACGTAACATAAAACCGTATACATTATTTTTTTTTCCATAGCAGAAATCTTTGGTTTATTTAAAACAAAACACTTTCAAAACTGACTTTCAGGACTTAAACTGATTTGGGCATTACTGGAACTAGGCAAGGCAAAACAAAGCATTTACTTCTCACTTATTTTCCTCACATGTGGTTATGTTTATCAAAATAAATCCCATTAAGATGGTAGTAATTCACAGTGAATAACTATTTTTATCTTGCTCTTTAATAGTTATTTGATACTGTCTCAGTCACCTGTAGTAGGAAAAAGCAAAAGGGAGCTTTGAGTAAGAATAAGAGGATGAATTTGAAACATAATCTTTTTTAGTTAACCTGCCACCAACCATGTTTTCCACATCTTTGGCTGAAGTAGACATTCACGTAAACAGAATTTCCTGGTACTTCACAATCCGTTAGGAAATTGCGAGACAGAACAGCAGACGCGCTAGGAAATACCTTCCATGCAGGTGAGAGAGCAAAAGTTGCATTTCTCTTACTCCCATGATCAATAAATGTAATCCTAGACCTTGTGAGAAACTGCAGCAGCTTCTAGATCTTCACTGAAGATGAGCAGAGATCCTGCCTTGATGTCCAAGTTCTGTTCCTTCTCAGTGCTTCACAGGAGAAGGTCAGACAGGGTGGCCTAAATCCACTGAGGACTGAGCGCTTAACAAGCCTGATCTTGTAGCTACAGGGGTGTCTGCTGGCGTTTGATGTCTGACAGCTACAGGGAAGAGCTGATCTGAAAGTATCCTCAAGGCAAGTGTTAGCTGGAGCTTCACTTGAAGTTCCAGGCTTTCCTTATGATAGTCATGGTCTTTGTATGAAGGCAGTCTTGGGCGTGCGTGTGTTATTCTTTTGTTCTTTTCCTAAGAGCACTAAATTGCCTGATTTAACTCTCCCTAAGTGCTTCCAGGAGATATGCTGAGACCTTTAGCTGCTTAGTAGAGCAAAGTGTATTTACGTGTCAGGGGTTTAAATGTCTATCCGTGTAACTTGTGCAGTTTTATCTCAGAAGGCTTATTCTTGCTTAGCAGTAAAGCTTTACTTGGCAGCTTGTAAAACATTCAAGATATTAGGTGAAGATACAGGTAGTTATCCAGTAACCTTCTCTGTGCCACCCTGCAGCCCGGCTGCTTTTGAGTCTGCTGGTTTGTGAAGGGTTCCAGTCTCATCTAATGCTAACTATATTAAAGTAATTTTTTAAAAAAACCCTAAAATGGTGCAGTCAGCTACTGGTAGAAGCGGTTCAAGCATTGCTGGCGTAGCCCCTTTCACACCCAACTTCAATCCTCTGAAAGCATCGGAAGGTGCGCTGTCCACATTCTCAGAATCTGTACTTTATCAGCAAAAAGAAGTGCCCAACAGCTATTTGAATTTCATGGGCTTACTCCAGTGTCATAGATGATGGTGCTACAGGATTCAGCCAACTTGGACAAAACCAGCTGTCATGTCCTAACGTGACCACAGCTGCGTTCAGACCTGATGCACTTGCTCTCTGTGTCTGCCAGATTTGTAGAGGACCTCTTTGTCAGAACCCGTGTGCCTGTGCCCAGTTCTGTCTGTTGGGGTGGCTTTACCAAAGCTTTCATTGTGAGAGGACCTGGAGGAAAAGTCAGCTTTTGAGAAAATGGTGGCTTCTGCTTCCTGAAGAGGCAAACTGAGGTTTGAAACTATTTGCAATCATGGGTGTAACTAGATCTCTTTTCCAGGCTTCTGCTAAGATAAGATAAATCTGGAGAAGCAACAGAATTTCCAGAAAGCTTTTTATCTGTGTAGTTAGTAGCCTTAAAAGGTGTTCTGCAAAAAGAGATTGTGTTTCTTTTAGTTCATTATAAAATTATAAATTGAGGAATGCTGAGTAGTTCTGCCCTTAAGCTGCAGAAGGGAAGGTAACATTCTAAAGTCACCATAATTTGTCTAGTTCCTCTGTTAAGAGACACTGGAACACCATAAAAATTGGACAACTAACAATTAGCTTTTTACTTTATCCTATTAACTTCTGGTTTTATTCATGAAGGGATCTCCTACTGTTCTCTAGTTTTGATATATTGGCATCTTAAAAACCCTACGGTGCTTACTGTGTTAAATCATGTGACACCATTGCCTCGGGGTAGATGTGTAGTTATCCATAGAATTAAAAGCATGAAACCTGAACTGTTACACTTGACCTCTGTATACAGCGTGTTAAATTTCTGTTTATGAAATCCCATTTAAAAATCTGGAGTGGTGGGAGCCCAAGGGAGATTTAGGTCCCAAAGCAAGCCTGTAAACTACAGTGCACACTTCCTGTCCTATAGATACGTATATACACCTGCTGCCCTGGAGAGTAGGTAAGAGTGGCCGTGACTGTCACAGGTAGCTGTTAGAGTTACATATTCTTTGATTCTCACTTTGATTTTTAAGAGGGAGATCTTAAAAACTTTTGCTAATCTTGTGATTTAGTTCTTAAATTTGGTTCTTGGGATTGGCTTTGTTGTTCTGTAGCAAGAGCTCCACTGAAACTTGACATCATCAGCCTCTGTTTATGTTTTCCTTGCAGTACAAGCATATTAATTTAAGGTAATGCAAGTCTTAATAAAAATGTAATTATCTCTCCTTTTCTCCCCCAGCTTTCCGTAATTTGTAAACATGGTCGTTGCATATGAGGCTTTGGCTGATGCTTAGTAGCTTGTTAGAAAATCATCGTTCTGCCTTTCCTTTTGTGAAAGAAGTACAGTAGTTGGAGCCTTCCATGTTCATATGCACACCAGCCTCCGCTATAGAGAACAGCAGGCACCAAACACAGCAGGGTGCTGTAAAGAGTAAGTGTGAAACTAGCAAGTGTCTTAGGCTGTGCTTTATTTTTGTTTCTCAGATGCCTGTTTAACACTGTCCTGTTCACATGTAAAATTTAAGGCTGCGACAACAGCTTGGGTCACTAAACGCACTGAGTAAGTTAATACTGATGTTGCCGCCTGTAAGGCAGGGCACGTTACCTAAGACAAGAAATAACTGCCCTCAGGACAGAACTTTTCATAACTTACTTACTGAGAAGTCTTCAAAGTCACACTATTCACACCTATTCCCCAACAGCCCTGTGCCTGACAGTGGCAACAGAGCGAGGTGGGGCCTCTCACCTTCCCTGGCTGGAACGCTCCTGCCTGAGAACACCTCTCCAGAGGTGGTAGGTTTCCCACCGATTTGTCAGCAGTAGCTGACATATGTTATCATATTAAATGTATACATCATTCCAATGCTTTAGAAATTCATGGCTCATCCTTTAAGAGCCAGGAATGATACGGTTCTAGATCCCGTGGAAACAAAGGGGGGGTGGAAAAATCATCCATGCATCACTTTTTGCTCTTTTTCAGCTGTAGTTGTGCATCCCTGTGGAATAGCACTTGTTCAGTGGTCAGCCTCATTACGCCTTCAGCACACAGTCTGAAACCCTTAATTTTATATATATATAAATATATATATATATAAAACCCACTTAGCTGGGTTACCTGTATGTGCTCGCTGAAGAGTTACTATGCTATAAAGCTCCTCGCATTTTCCATTGCTGCCCCACTGACCTTGCCTTAAAGTTGCTCTAATGGTAAA